GTTGAGACATCTTACTTCTTAAGTATCCTTAAGAAGTAAGATGTCTGAAGCTTTTCTATTAGCTACATATTTGACCAATTCTTGCTGTATGCATACCGACGATTTGTTGTCTAACGACAAGACCATGTCAACCGAAGCGGAGCTGCGGGCGCTGGATCGACAGATCGCTGATCTGATGCAGCAGAAGGCGGCGGTGCAGGCCAAGCTGGAGCGTGAGGCTGGCGGCGCACGTGCCAAGCAGATGAGCGCTGAGGTGGTGGACAGCAACCCTTACAGTCGCCTCATGGCTCTGAAGCGCATGGGAATTGTCAATAACTACGAGAAGATCCGCGACTTCTCCGTCCTCATCGTGGGTCTTGGTGGTATCGGCTCTGTCGCTGCTGAGATGCTCACTCGCTGCGGCATCGGCAAGCTCATTATGTACGACTACGACACTGTGGAGATCGCCAATATGAACCGCTTGTTCTTCCGCCCCGAACAGGCCGGAATGACCAAGACGGCGGCTGCCAAGCAGACGCTGCACAGTAAGGAGACTGCACTAAAGAAATACGGTCTTATTCGTAGTGTTTTACTAACGCAATCGTGAAATTTAGGTATTAATCCGGACGTGATCTTCGAGGAATACACCATGGATATAACTACGACCGCCAACTTCGAGCAGCTTCTAGACCGTATCCAGCACGGCGGAGTGGACGGCAAGAGCAAAATCGATCTGGTTCTCAGTTGTGTGGACAATTATGCGGCGCGTACGGCTCTAAACCAGGCATGTAACGAGCTGAACCAGGAGTGGATGGAGTCGGGCGTGTCGGAGGACGCTGTATCAGGTCACATCCAGTTTTTGTTGCCTGGACGCACAGCCTGCTTTGAGTGTCTCCCGCCACTTATCGTGGCCAGTGGCATTGACGAGTCCACGCTCAAGCGCGAGGGCGTGTGTGCGGCTTCTCTACCGACCACTATGGGTCTGGTGGCTGCTATGCTAGTGCAGAATGTACTGAAGTACTTGTTGGGCTTCGGTCAGGTGTCGTACTACTTAGGCTACAGCGCCATGAAGGATTTCTTCCCGTCGGACGTCATGCGTCCGAACCCGGAGTGTTCTAACGCTCAATGTCGGAAGCAACAGGCCGTGACTGAACACAAGAATTGGACGCCCATGGTCTGGAAGGCTCTGGGCCATGACGGCCAGGAGAATCTGGTTGTGGAGCATGAAGACAATGAGTGGGGCATCGAGCTTGGCGGAGACGATGCAGCTGAAGCTCCTGCTGCTGAGACGGCGAAGCTGGCGTCGGGGATCTCGTTTGCGTACGATCAGGCTACATCAACTCCGGTTGCTGCTGAGGACCAGTCAGCTTCTGTAGCGGACGTGAATGTGAGTCTGGAGGACCTCATGGGACAGCTGAAGTCGCTTTAGACGGATTCAGCAACCCTGTAGCCTTTGAAAGCGTCGTAGAGAATAATGGAGAGTTGTGCGCTGTGGAGTGTGCTTTGGATTGGGTATTTTATACTAGTTTATTGAGCGTCTAATACATCCCTAAAGGCATGAAGCAGTGCAATGCTCGACGTCTCGATATCATCGTTCCAAAACCCGTCCTGCAGTCTCCGATCGAGAGCATGTGCTACTTTGACGACGTTAGCGAGAGTTTTTGTAGACTCTGGGGACGTCTCCAGTACAACTCGCATGGCATCCAAGGCTGAAATGGCCACAGCCACATCTGTACCAGTCTCCAACTCTCGTAAGAAATCTGTGAACGTAAGTCCAAGCTCCGCGATCTCTTGTGCAAGTATCCCGTTGTTTGGATTCTGGCTCTGGTGCTCACTTGACATGTACAGCTCTCGGATCTTTACTGGTAAAAAACTGTAGTTGATACTCTTACAGGTACTCACAGGATTGTCAGTCTCAATAAGGTTTTCAACCGAGGACATCGAAAAGGCATAGAAGAATCCAAGTTAGACTTGATATAAGTACAAAGATTGAGTAGTAGTAATTGTCACTTACATGTTTTGAGAGACCACTTGATGACCCATGTAGAGACTTTAGCGATCTACGGGTGAGATGTCCGCGACTGAGCGCTTGAATGCACGTAGCAGCTTCGATCTCCTCGAGGTTGTGGTCAAATGTGGTAAAGTATTGCCTCCAGAAGCTCTGAATGGTGCTAGCAGCGATCTGTTGGACAATCAAGATTTCTTCATCGACTGCAGCCTGATGAATTGCTGCTCTCCTTGCCTCGTAGTCACGGAAAACCTGCTGAATAGTGCGAGCTGCGATACTACGAACACCCTCGTCCACTGCTCGATGGGTATTTTGACGGTGGACGCGAAAGGATCTTTGAATTGTAATAGCAGCGGTATACACTCCAGCCTTGGTGCACTCGGTTAGTAGACGACTCTGACGACCACGTACAAGAGCCTGGATCTTGATCGCGCTAAGATCTTCCAAAAAGTCCTGTTCCAGCTCCATCTACGACGAAATATAGCAGAGTTGGTTAGAATATTGAGTCAGGAACCGGGAATTCGAGTAACTACTTACTGCTTGATTCAGACTGAGGATAAAATGCCTGTGCTCAATGTAAGCTCGGCTCAAATCACTTGCGCTCTTAAGTGCAATACTTTGACGGACGGCAAAGCTCTTGACGCACGCCTGGATTCGAGTGGCCGCAGCATTCAGGATTGTACCTTCGGCGATGTTGCGGTTTGTGCGTGGAGTTGCGGTAATTGAGAGCTGCTGGGGAGTGTGTGGTTGTTCCGCAACATTATAAGTTGAACGCGACGTTGTGGGTCGACCGTCTTGAAAGCTGCGAGTTGATCGCGGAGTTAGTTTTGCTGAACGTGGTGAAGACTCTTTCCAATCTTCATCGTCATCATAGACGTCACTACGTGCACTTTGTTTTTCTCGTGCTTTCGTGGACATCTCGACTTCATTCGGGTCGATCAAAGATATGGATGAAACAGTTGAACTTCGTCGAGGTGGCTCTGGTTCTGACAGACGACTAAGGTTTAAGTGGGGTACGGAGACTGCGGGGTTTAGAGGAGGGGGCTCCGGGGATCTCTGGTTAAGCAGCGTTTGGCTTGATCCCACCGACTTGACAGCAGCTCCAAGTACAACGTCAGCGATGGAAAAAGGTCGACGCTGAGGAACAGGAGATGGCTTCGCGCCTTCATCTTCGTCTTGGCTTTCGACTGCATTGGTAAGAGCTCGTCGCCATAATCGCTGGATAAGACAAGCTGCCATGTCCTCCACCTCTTCTTTCTGAAGCTCCAGCTGCAGTCTCTCTTCATCAAGTATCCTCTTCTCCATTTGTACTTTAAGATACTGTCGCACCTGCCGCTGGATCAAAGAAGCCGAGGCGTTTTCAAGCTTA